ATGAATGGATGAATGAATGAATAAATTAATGAAACCTTTATTTAAAAATAATAAAAATTAAATAATAAAAGTATAAATCTTTAAAACTTATAGACGCCATTTCATAGGAAGAAATATTTTATCATTCAAGTATGCACTTATGTAGAATCAATACTGAAAGCATTGTATCAAGGGTTGGGTTGGGTGCACTTAAGATTGTTTATCTAATGTAGCCTATCAACTACCGAAATTACACTGTTTACTAAAACACTTTAAAGTTACAGCCCTTGAATAGTTATCAGAGGTTGGCGACTTCTGACTTAAATTTTCGCTCCACTATTCTTTAAGAATTCGATATTTGCAGCTTAAGACATTCGAAAAAGTAATGTTTATAGTATTAATAACTAGTATACGAGTGTTTAAGTGAGCTTCGGATATATATATATATATATATATATATATAAACTCAATTCTCGGCAGTCAGCCAATTGCAAGTCTACATTATTTACAGGAAGATGAATTATCCAGTCTACTAAAATAATGCAAAATCTGAATTTTTTCATGCATGTTTTGCATGAGAGATTTCATAAAGAATTTTTTTGACAAAATTTCGAAACTGAAATACTACTTGGGACTGTAAAGAAAATTGTGTATTTTAATAGGCAAATAATTTGCTACATTTTTAGACAAAATGAATAAATAAATGTAATAATGCAATAAGAATGAAAGCTCTACTGCAGTTATAGATTGCATGACAAAAAGGAATCCTGTGCAGCCAATATCGTAATATTTTGACAGACATATTATCTTTAAGAGCTGGCTTTTGTGATTGCTCTTTCAGCTTCGACATAATTTTTTTTGGTGTTTTTGATAAAAACAAAGCCCAAAAGTAAACAAAAAACTGTGTGCACGCGATAATAAAATATCAGCTTTAAATGAACACGAACGATAAACTAAGTAAATTAATGCAATTACTAGAAATTATTCCAATTCACACTCAATCAAAGCGTGTAAAGGTGTGAAACAGCCTTATTAAATATCTATCAATTTATATTTATTAAATCAAAACGGAAAGGCGGACGACAAATTCTTAGGTTTGATACTTCAAACCGCCATCAAACAATGAAACATTTATCATTCTCACGTGGAAATGCCTACTTGACTGAGTGAAACCACTTACAGTACCGTGACTTTGAAGTGGTTTCCTATCGGAACCAATTAGAGCACACGAAAACAAATTCTGTCCAATCAGAGCGCCGGAAGACTAGACGCAACGTGGACCCTGTTTTTTCGACCATAGAGTATTTTGTTCTGGTAATTCAAGATTTTTCAGTGTCAACTTGTGAAATGCTATTATTTATGACTTCAGTGACTGTAATGACAATCTTTAAGTAGTTCCTTAAATGATTTAATTAGCGAGATGTTTCGAGGTATTCGCTCGATTGCCTTTTCCGCCGTTTTAATATTGTGTTGACAACAAGTGTTGGGTAATTAGCATGCCATCAATAAGAATGGGCCAATAGGTGACAACACTGTAAATTATAAAACAAGCATACTGCATATCAACTGTTCTTGCACACATCTCGCGACTTTCAAGCTGAGCAGTACGTGGAGAAAAAGTTGGGAATTTTTGGTTGCTATCCTTCAAGGTAGGCGAAGAGTTATTCTTACCAAGTGAAGGAAACGAGTGAGACACAAATCATGGTAGTCTTGGACGTTGTTCTGGGTGTTCTTGGAACTCTTATCGCGTTGGAGAACATTGTGGTATGTGTTTTAGTTATTTGCTACAAATCTCTTCGAACTTACACCAACGGCTTCATCGTGTCACTGGCAGTAGCTGATTTCCTCTACGGAGCCTTGATCATTCCCCTCTTCCTCGCTAACGCCTCTGAAGTCATCAACAGCTACATCTTGTCCATGGTTCTCTTAGCCAACATCACTACACTCATGTCGGTAACTTTTGATCGATATTTAATCGTTTTGCATCCGTTTGTGTACGACACGTTCATGGCCAGATATTTTTTCGTAGTGGTAATTGTGTCCTGGTTAGTGCCGATTTCCGTATCTTTGATTCCATTATTTTATGCATCGAACTTTACCCAAACCGGACACAAGGTTTACGTGTATTTTTTAGTCATTTTGGGAGTTGTAATCCCATACTTTCTGATCCTTTTGGGGTATATTAGGATCTTTCAGCATGTCGTACGCCAGGTTAAATACCTCGCACGATTAGATCCCGCGAGAGATGACGAAGGGAAGGCAAGACAAGAGGGAAAGAGAGTCACCAGCGAAGCGTACGTAGCAAGAATATTTGCTATAATCGCAGCTATTTTTATTGTCAGCTGGATGCCGGTCGTCTATATGACCTTCGTGGGGAATATAGGAAGACAAGACTTGATTCCGAAGGCGTTGCAGATGGTCTCTTGGGTCACACTCTCTCTGGGATCCCTCGTAAATGCGCCGATTTATGCATACGCTAAAAAGGACTTCCGTGGCGTGATGAAAAGAATAATCTTCTACAAGCGGAGGAGGGTGACGCTTAGAAATGAAGGAGACGAGCCAAACACAGCTCAATACATGATAAGCATCAAGTCTGATACTAACTCAGATCTCTAGCCCAAGAAAAACTGGACAAAACATATCGTGAAACTCGAACATGACAAGCGAAATTAGACCATATGATTTGGGGTACAACCGTGGATTATTCTTGGTCGAAATCAAGCACTGTTTCTATGACAACTGTGCTCGCTCTGAAAACATGTTCACAAGGAAATCAGAAACGGTACTCGTCACTACCACGGCAGCAATCGGCGCCTGACTCTGGGGTAGTGAAAAATATTATTGTTAAAAATACTAAGTAAAAAGGGGTCAAGGACTTGAAAGAAGGCAATAAGGTCAGCTGAGATAAGAAGAGTAAAAACAGGTACAAAAAAGATTATAGATCATGATTGTTGTTGAATAATTGTTTTTAGTGCAGGTTATCTCGCCATTATTTCCTGCCCCAGGGCGATAGTTGCGCTTATGGCAAAATCGTTAATTCAAAGATCATTTTAGTGGAGTTTACGAGTTTACACATCTTTTTGGAGGTTGTTTTGGGAATGGAAAACAACGAGACATTATTCACTGCAGCACGATACGGTGTGAGCTATACTTTATTATTCAAATTTTGATTGGATGAGCTACTACTAGACTTCCAGCCTACTAGTAGCGAAAAGGCTCTGAAAACCCAAGACATTAAATTTAATTTTTAATTTAGTCGACTAGTTGGATTTAACTAAAACAATTAGATTTGGAATTGGAATTTCCAAGGGGTGGGAAGGGGTCTGAAGACCAGTGAGAGAAGGACGCCAACATGCATGTAGGAACCTTTTAGAGACCAGTTATGAGAAAGGGAATGTTGAGCTCTCGCCCTCATGGCCTACGAGTCACAATAGGACATTCGGGCCCGAGGAATGATTGCTAAATAGTATAAACCTACTAATAGTCTATCACRAATCCTGTGCTCTGATTGGCTGAGCTACTAGTGCTCTATTAGTGATAGACCACTAAGGCTCAGGTCAAACATCGAACTTCACACGAGCCGAACTTAATAACTTCAAAGAAGATCGCCTTGTTATCCATCAATTTGGTTTGGCTGCTCGCGTTTTCAACTTAATTCCAACATTTTTTGTATCCATTTATTTGACCAATAAGTGGGTTTAGGCTAAAATAGTCAGTCCTCTCGTCCTCATGGCCCTTCTATGGGTCTATGCAGAGCCCTTCAAAAGCTAGAAGCCAAAAAATTTCCAAACTAGCACATTTGGTTTATACGTTATACTATATACTGTTCGATTCTAGCACTGATTATAAATACGTCAAAGCACTGTTCCCTACGTAATAACAGGCCGGTGTAGGAGTGGGGTACTAGAATAATAATGTGTACTGCCTAACGAAGAACGGAGACTCGACATTGGTACCTTTAGTGTAGTAAAAAGCTTTGGGTATCTGTTTCTTTTGGGTACCGCAAACGCATCCGTGGGGGGGGGTACATTTTATGTAGTAAAGAGCTTTGGGTAACTCTTGGGTAGACATCCCTTTTTGGTATCGTTTGGGTGCCTTGTGGGTGAGCAGCAATTTTGGTACCTCGAGAAAGATGAGCCTTTGTGGTCTCTTCTTCTTTTCGTAAATATGAGAACATTCTAATGCACTAGTCAATTGAAGCCCCCGACCCCGGAGAAGACCGCTGTAAAGTGCGCATCAAATCCCCCGGTTGCGCCGCGTTAATTCCCCGTCCTGTCCCGGGGATCGGGAGGGGGGAGGGGGGGGGTGGTGTTGGCAATTTCAGCTGATTCTTTGACTAGTGCATATATGTTCTCTATATATCTTTATAGTATACCAGCTCATCTTTAAAAACAAGCTTTGCAAATTGTCAATTGATTTATTAGAAAAATATCAATGGATGTATTTGTGAGTGTGATTTTTAATGTACTCTATTAAAGTGACCATAATACTTTTTCTATACTTGAATGATAGCGTTTCAAAGATCGCAGCGATAAATTTTCCTACCTTAATGAAAAAAATAATAATCTTAGTATAATCTTAATCCCGAAAATCGTAATTGTAGATCAAATATCTCTTAGAGTCATGTTTAATCTAGCAGCTCTCGCCTCCTTAGTTTAAAATTCCACTTAATCTTGATTAGCGCTTACCCTTGTCGACTTTTTATCTATCGATGCTACAGTCGCTCGTCTTTAACTGATCTGATAAAGTCGCTTGCTAAACAGGCTCGTGATTGATCTTGTTCTCAACCTTGTTATTTACTAAGCCATTGTAGTTGCGTGCGTTAGCTTGGTCTCGAGGGAATGCAGGGGGTGGGGGGTGCGTAAGGGGGATTTAAATCCTCGATAAATTCCATTCCCATCACGACTAATTAACGCTAGATCAAAGATCTTTAGACAAATTGCCGCACTTATAAAAAAAATCAAAGGTCAACGAAATTGTCCAATGAGATTGACGGCGTGATATTTGCCTTCGTTGTACAGAATAACATCATTCGTGGACGCCCCAGAAAATTTGTTGTTTTTAATGAAAAATGAAAAACTTGATGGTAGAAAATAGGAGGATCGTAGGGACAGTTATCAGGAGGTCGAAAAATATTTAAAAAATAGGAGAAGTATGAAAGCTTTATAAAGAAATCATATCTTGTTATTAGTGTTATGTTACATTTTATCAAGAAGAATAAAACCTGAATGTAAAGGACGTGTTCAGCTCGTGTTTCGTACGATCTTAGATGACGTTGAGAGCGTCAATGAACGGCTAAATCGAGAAGCCGTCTAGCGAAACGATGCGGAGAATTCGGTATGTTTACGAAAAATACTAGATAATTCGTTTCTTCAAAATATCAAAAAATAGCCTTCACAAAACGTCTGTTTTTACTTTTTTTTCTTTCGGGTTCCCTGTGGTGTGAGAAGACAAGATTCATCTCTACCCCCAAAGAATATTTAACAAACTAATCAAGAATATACGAAGTAGAGACCTTGTACGTTGAGGCTACGGATTATAGCCGTAATCCTTTGTAATGCATCACGGGACACATTAGGTAAATGGCATGTTTCGGAAAACTAATTCTCAGAGCACATTACGACATTACTCAGTGTCACGCAATCACTACCGAACGCAATTCTTAATGAATCTTTTGTATATATAACATAGCCACGGTACGAAATGCATCGCATTTCAACCCGTTTTCACGCCAAATATTCAAAGTACTTTCCCAAATTAAAACAGAGAGAATAAATCAAGTGACGTCACCCGACATGCGCAGTACGTCCCTCCCCCTGTAGAGAATTAAAGATGGCGAATAGATATGAGAAGACTACGGTACTTTCCCGCCAAATATGCAAATTACAGGGATAAATCAAGTGACGTCACCCGACATGCGCAGTACGTCCCTAATGTCATATCACATAGAACATGGTGAGTGAAACTTTACCTGTAGAGAATTAAAGATGGCGAACAGATATAAGAAGACAACGGTGCTGCTATCAATAGCAAGGACACCAAATAACCATGTCAGACCAAGTAAAGGCAGAAGAACAGCACAGCATTTTCCAGCGACTCTACAACAAATGTGTTAAAGATACACTTAAACATTTTCTAAGATTAGCCATTTTATAATCGAATTTCTTTTAAACTTGTAAACCTAAATAATCTGAACTTTTCATCTTCTACATTTTTACATACTAGTAATAATGATGTTGACTTTTCAGTAACGAGCTGGTTTCGATATTCAACCTCCAAATTCTCTTTTTACATATTGTTGTCAAAATATCTTATTTATCAGGACCTTCTTGAAAATCAAATTTATAAGTGAAGAAGCTTCCTGTTTAAATATGAATGTAAAAAAAATGTAAACAACGAGTCCGCGTGCTATGTTGAGCTATATAAAACGGTAATTGACCAATCAGAGCGAGCGTTTTGTTTGAATTGATATGGCTGTCATCAGGTGATGAAATTTCAAGTCAAAAAAACGTGCTTGAATTTTATTTTCTTAAAGATTCACCCTTCACCCAAATATGATAGATTTTGAGCACTTTAACGAGCATCCGGCGAGATTACGTTCATCATTAGAGAGATTGATGATCTCTCACATTTCGGCACTTAACCCCCGCTGCGCGAGATAATAGCCATGATATATAAAAGATAACGTGCAGCCTGTTTATCCAGTGGAAACCTCTTCTCTAGTTAAGCATTAGCACACATTAATATTAAAATCAGAGGTGAAAGTCAAGTTCACTTTACTGTACAAAAAGCCGACTGAGTTTATTTAACTTAATGAGTAAAGTTTGAATCATGATTATAGGATGGGAAGATAAATGTGTGGAAACGTATTCTACTGTAGCATAATCATATAATCTACAGCACAGACGACATAAAGACGATAATAAAACAACAACAATAATAACAGCAACAACAACGACGATATATAACTAAACATAATATATATATATATATATATGTGTGTGTGTGTGTGTGTG